TTATCTCACCCAACCTCAACAAATTAATATTTAACGTTAATTATCTTTAAGATGCAGTCTTATTTTTTAGCTATTGATGAAACAACGTATAATATAATCACCTAAAATTTGTTTAGTCAATTTTATATTATAGGTAAAAATAATTGAAATGTCTACAAGATATGGAAAGTGAATAGAATTACATCATCAGGGTAATTGTAAAGATCTTGTTTAGCGAGCTAAGGTTAGGTTAGGTTCAATTTTTAACCAACGAAATTCTAACCATCAAATCATCTCCAATTGGCGCGTTCCAGAAAGATCTACACCGAAGACAGGAAAGTTTAGTTTGGGATAGGTTGAAACCTCTTCTGTTGTCAAAGATAAAGTATGTTTTATAAAGTATTAAGTATGTTTCAGTTGAGTTATAAATGAATCCTTTTTTTTTTTTTCATCAAAGTTTTTTCAGTCAAAGATGACCTTTGACTGTATAAGTGACAGTTAATTTTGGTTGGGCGACGGTTAGGTTAGCTTAGGCGAAGTACAGGTGAGGTTTGGTAGGTAAATGACTTTAGACAATGATTGGAAAACTAGGGAGTTGTGGTGAACTTCATGCACAATACTATAAGAAGGAAGAAAGAATAATGTAAAATAGAACAACAAAAAAAGTAAACGGGTAGTTAGCAATCAATTAAGAAACGTTAGAAACAGATTTTCAACCCCTGTTTAATATGCTACAGCTGTAATATACGTGGTGCACTGCCTTCTGAAGGTTCTATAATTGGGACTACAACATGGAAAAAAACATCTAGTCCCTGCGGGGAGGTACTGGGTAGTCGGTAATTTTAACGGATTTATTTACTTTAGAGGTTCCAAGTCCGGTTGCTGCTGCTGCAGAGTCGACTGGTGTTGGCCCGTGGTCGGGGACAGGTCGGGCAAACGATTCGGGAAATCCGATGGAAATTCGGCGCACAAAATAATGTAACGGTCGAACCGGTCGAACTGGTAGGACGGTTTTTTTCACACTAACGGTCACCACACACACACATAACAGTATCCGACCCGAGAACAACAACAATATTATTATGACATCTTGTGCCGGCGCGATCAATTGACTTAAGGGTCAATAGTTTGTTAAGGAGGATCAATTTAACGCGGTCGTCTTGGCGCGTTCAGCAATCGAGTTCAAGCCCGTCTTGTGTGTGTGTGTGTGTGTGTGTGTGTGGCCGTCACCAACGGCCGAACGATATTACAATAACGATAATGTATTAAATTTAAAACGGAAAAAACAAACAAAAAAAAAAAAAAAATACCTCGCTAGAAAACAATGAGACGAAATCAAGACGGAATCCGGACCGGACGACCTTAGCGCGCGCGACTGGCGCTCTGTTGGCCCGGAGAGGCGACCGGCGCGGCGTGCGTCGGCGACCATTTCCACCGTGTCCGTTCACACGCCGGCTAAAACGGTCTGGTCAAATATAGATACACTTTTTTCACTTTTTTTTTTTTTTTGATAAAAGAATATTCGTTTTTTGGTTTATTTATAATATATACACCGGCCCGCACCGCTCAGCCCGACCGCACCGACAGGGCTTCCAAAAAAAGGATTTTAGGATTAAAACATGAATCACAAAACTATAGGCCACTTTTCAGTAAACTAGTCATTTTTTCCTATATTAAGTTTCTTGTGCATTGCTCAGCGGCTGTAGCGGATGATATTTTATGTGAAACGCACACCGTCAGAACAGTTTAACGCATTAAAAACTTATTTTTTTTACAAATGTTTAGAACGAACTCAATTTGTTGAGAATGTTATTATGTTAAGAAAAAGTACATTATATGGTGGCGGCGAAAATGACCATGTGTGTGTGTTCTAGAACCCTGGTACTCATATTTATTGTTCAATAAGTAATCTCAATATTTATGTCTATTGCATCTTTACGTCCATTACACGAAATCGTAACATGAATTTCAAAATGACCCCCAGCCCAAAAACATATCCATGTTAAAAAAGTAACATAAGTCAACTTCAAAGCAAAAAATACAATTATTTATTATTCATGTTTATTAATGTAATTATTAATCGTTTTATAATTTTGAAGTCGGTGCTTTTCTGTAGCCAGGTATATATTATATTAATTTCTATGTTTTACTTGACACATTTTTGTTTTACAAATTTTAGTGATGGGTAGACCTAGTAGTGGGAAACCTACCCCAATGAGTTGCCATTTGATTTTGACAAGTTCCCTTGCAAGGTATCTTGGATCTACAATTGTTTTTTTATTTGGAAGTGCAGCATAGGTTAACTTCTGCACAACATTGTTTTTTTTTTACTAACGGCACTTTTTAATAAACTTGACGTTCTACTTGAGAGGAAATTTTTGTTTTTATTTTTATTAATTTTAACATAAATAATTGAACACAGCAAATATTAAGACAAAATATTAAACTTACAACTGTTAGAGTTTTAACTTGTTTTTGAGGGAATATGTCATGAATTTAAAATGATATATTTGAATATGTTAAAAGAATCAACACTGCTTAAATTATTTTGGACATTAAATGTTGGTTTATTTCTTTTTCTCCAGAGGTTTTATGAGAAATTTTTGTTAGTTCTAAAAGTGACGAGTAGAAGAAATCTACATTATTCGATGGAGTAATTCAATTTACTGGAAATATAATTTATATAAGATCAAACATAATAAAGAATATAAGTGCTATGAAAGTCCTCGAGACGTTCTCTGTATTCTGTGTAAAATTGTTAAAACGAAATATTTTTCATTTGAATTAACATCATTGTGTATTAAAATTTATGGCTTTTGTAGTCTTAGAAAAGTATATACTAAACATAGTCGCAAACATCTAGCATTAAATAATATAAATAGGAAAAAACTTGAGTTTTTTTAGATGATAAAAAATAGCTCATATTTAGTTAAGCTATGTTATGATATAGCATGAACCTAAACACTATTGATAAAAAGGTATTAATTCTTAAGCAACTTGCTTTAATCAAATGAAAAAAAAAATTTATTCGCTTAGAGAAATTGGAACTAAACAAGTTACTTTAGAAAAAAAACTTTCCCAGTCCGCGTTGAAAGAGTAGATTAGATTATGTCAAGTTTAACAGCCGGTTTGCGTTTGCCGCTTCAAGTATAGTACAATTATTAATTGTTTTAAATAAAAACTTAAAAAGTACATTCCTTTGTCGTTGAAACATTTGGCGTATAAAAACTTTAAGTAGTACTTTTAAAGTTTAATTTTTTTAGCGTTTTAATAGTAGTTGAAAGTTTGAAGTTTGTCGAGTTATTGTCGGTTATTTTTTTTAACTTTAATGACGAAATCTTGTAAAGGCGAATGACACCGGAGGCAGATTTCGGGTCAGTGTCAAAAAACAAAATGATAAACATTTCTAATGGAAAAAAATCCGTCTATGTTTATTTCAAAGCTTTTTACCGCAAGGGTCTCGCAGGCAGACAAGACGGATGCTCTCCTTAGGAAATCTACTCGAGGGGACTTGAGGGTGAGAAAGAGCCGGACAACTCAAAGTGTGTGGTGGCGAAAATGCCAGCCGCTCGTTTCTGAACCGTTTACAACGATAATTAATTGTTTCGGAATGCTTTTCAAAGGGCAACTTTTACTTTAGTTCAATCGCGATTGCACAAATCATACATATTTAATTACACGGTACATTTAAACCGAGTAAAGTAATAATAATATGTTCTGCTCGATTAAACACAACGGTCTTTCGTCGAGTGGCGGCGATAAAGTACACATTAGTGTCACCGTATAAATTTCAACCCCACATTTTGCGGTACATAAATAATTCAATATTGAGATAACAATATGGCGGTGAATGCTCGGAGAAAAATAATTATAAATACTTGAGCGAGACGTGGGTGAACCAGATAAACAACAGCTATATATTGCCTTCACATCCTGTCAGATCCTAAAAGGTTTTCCGAGAGCAATGATATAAAGACAATGGCGAAAATAATAGCGTCAAGAAAGAGTGTCCGTTGAGGAACCGACGAAAAGGATAAGGTTTAGGCGAGGGTAAGATAAAAAGAAAAAAAGACCTTTGAAACTTTTTACATTGACAGAAGTAATTACACCGTCGAGCCTGTGATAAATGCGAAAGCGTTAAACAGTACAAAAGGGATAATAGCTTAACGTTATCGCTATACTTTACCTTTTACCTATTGCCAACGGATTGACTGATTTATATGTGATTCCGTCCACCAAAAAACATTTATCAACTTCTTACAATTTAAGTGCAGATTTTATTAGTTGAGTCCGAGACCGAGATCCTAAGTTAGTCCCAACAGCACAAGATTATCCCGAGAGCCTATCCAGAATACTCTCAGCTTTTGGGAAAAAAAACATTGGGGAACTAAGGAGCTCCTAAGGAGTACTCGACTAGTAAATTTTACTCCAATAAGCTCCTCAAGAGAAGTGCGTAAGTCCATGAAATTCGTGGTATTGCAAGTTTTTTAATTTAATTTTGTGTTTCGGCTAGCTAACTGGTAATTTATTTTATAAAAAATTAATTAACAATTTCATCGAATCCTACTTAATTCACATTCGAAGTGACTTCGTTAAGTTCTTACGGTTTTCCTATTTGGAGAAGGTTTCCTCCTTATTATCCTGATAATTATTACATTTTAAATTTAACATTTTTCTGAAAATTAGTTATTTTATTTATATGACTCCATTGTGTTATTTAAATTTTATTTGTCAATATCAAATAGATAAGAAAATAAGTTATGAAGTAAGAGTTTTTTTTTTTTAAAGATAGAATATATTTTTTTAATAAAAACGTAGGAGAACATCAGGATGCTAATAGTGACTCCCAGAAAGCCCCCTTTAGTTCCTTATGCTGTCAGGGCAGGTCCTAAAAATTGAAGTTCTCATTACCATTAGACTTACATGTATCCGAAAGTAGGTATTCGGATAGATTGTGCTATAAATTGACCCTATTTGTGAATTTTTCGCGAGGTAACACGGTTCTTATTTTTAATGCTCACCTGCTTGTTCGGCACCGGTAATTGGCTTTTCGTCGTCCGAGTCCAGGCGATCCATTTCGGTCGGTGGGTCTGGCAAGTCAAACGACAGTTCGTTTCCAATAGTTTTTTCCTCGTCCGCTTCTGACAGAGGTGGCGGAGGTGGCCAAGTAGAATCAGCTCCTTGGGCGACCTAAAAAACATCATTGACATTCAAGTAGGTCAAGTGTAGATACTTCAATCGCGAGCCAACGTCTACTGGTTGTGCAATCTCTCGGATGCAAAGACAATCTTTAGTGGATATTATGCTTTATGTTTTTGAAACAAAAGCTATGCCCAGCACATAGCCGGCAATCTGTCGAAAAATTCTGAACAAGGAAAGAAAAGGGGAAAGTTAAGAAGAACGGGAGGGGTGGGAGCGAATTGGACTGTGATAAGTGTGGTTGGTTATGGTGATGAGAGAAAATCAATAATTCTTTGATAACAGTTAAGAGTATATTGAATAGATAATCAGCTGCGAAGAGATTATTTATAAGAGACAAAAAACCAGCTGCTCATATATGACATATTGTTTTCTACAAAGGAAATATTGAAGAATTTTTAGTCTAAGCCAAAATATGTTGTCACCAAAAATTAGTAATAAAACTAGGCTAAGTAGGAAACAGATTTTTAATTTATTGATTTTTTATGTAAAAATTGTTGGGTTTTAATATTGAAAAAATTGCAAATTGAATTTATTTAATTACAAGAAACTGCCATTTATAAATATAAATCGGTTTCCTACATAACCTAGTAAAGTAGCCCAAACACTCGAATCTCTTTACAGAATTTAAATTGGACCGACCTATGTAGTCTGACTTTTTGGTCTAAAATAAATCAAAACGGCTTTCGCTCATAGAAAAAATTATTTAAATTTGAAATTTATTTAAACATTTTTTTCCCCCTTAAATATCGCCTATACAAAACTCGTTCAAAACAGACTACGTGCAATCCGCTTAATATTCAATATCTTTTCGTTTAAACTAACTTAACGACTGAGACGCAGATGAAAATTTACTCAAACGTTTTGCAAACAAATTGAAACCACCTTAGTGGAAATACGCGTACACGCGAATGGTTATCGTCGAAGGGTAGTAATATAATAGTGATAATTCATTGCAGAACTTTTTGGCAAACGATCGTTGGAAGTTTTCGAACTCACCTGCAACGCCGTTAAAATATATTATCGTTAATCGGAATGTCGTTTTCGAAACAAAAGTTCGACATTTCCAGCCATTTCCATTTAACGTTAATACTTTTCCAACAGCTTTTGCCGGCAACGGCCCAACAACAGGCATTTAGAAACTCTCTTGTGCCGGTCGCTTACGCGTGGAATTTTCGCTTGTACTTTAAAGTATTTTTAGCACCGACAGAAACACCTGTCGACCCGCAAAAATAACAATCGTACATATTTTGTTTGTATATTGTAATCCCGTCAAAGCTATTGGCCGCGGTGTTGTCGTGACACACAGTCAGTGCCAATGGTAAAAAAAAATATATATATATACATATACATATACAACATAAAGTATACAAGTCGATTTTCAACATGACCGTTAATAGAAGTCATTAAAACCGCAAAGGGGTCATAGTCCCTGGCCCGTTATTGGTTTTAATCGAAAACCATGTAAAAAAAAAAAAAAAAGGTAAAACAAAAACCAACAATAATAACACGTCTTGTTAAGGACTTGTTTTTCAATTGAATTTCATTATAATTAGAATCGTTATAATTTTTTTTTTTTTTTAATTGCTAATCGATTGGATTCCAAGTCGATAACATTGCGACTGTTACGCTAACAACACATTGTACGCACGACACAAGTGTACACATATGATGTAAATATAAAAAACAAAATATTCTACCCTCGCTGACATTAAATAGATACACCTAACGTGATATTATTAACACAAACATAAAGAAGGGTACATTTTGTTAAAAAAAAAAACACCTTTTCCGATGTCCCTCGTAATTTGTGTTATTGACGTTATTTTTTTTTCGACGTTAAAGTTGTTAAAAAATACATACAAAAGAGTTTTCTTCGAGTTCGTATTCTCGGAGACCATTATTTATAAAATATTATTTGTAGTTATTGCGTGAAACTGTTTGAAATAAAACAACAAGAAACCCGAACGAGTTATTTTTTATTCGAGCACGGAAATATACATTTTCGTTTGAACGTTTTCATTTGAGTCTTGTTAAAATATTACTGATTTTATTATTTTTTTTTTACATAAAAAAATGTTTATTTCATAAAGGATAAATGTGTATAAAAAAAGTATTTCATGGCTGATTGCAAAAAAAACTAATTGATATCAATATTTTTAAAAATATTTTAAATCTCACAAATCGTCGTGAGATCATTTTTAGGCCCAACGAAAAAATCGTATAAGGTCGTGGAGTTTAGGTAAAAAATAATCGTTGCTAAAAAAAAATGAAAACTTTATTTTATTGAGTTATTGTTAAACATATGAAATGTTCTAGTTAATTTAAGTGAATACTCTCAACTTTTGAGAAATATTACTATAGTGGTTTTCGAGTTAAATCATTTTTATTACTTTCGAATTATTATGAATTTCCTCGTTTTAAATAACCGATGAGGCATAAGATTATTATCGTTTACATAAATGAATGCCAACTGGGTGGAAAAGGTTTTTTTTTTAAAGAAAGAATCGCCTTCATTTCAATTATTAAAACATTTTATTATCTACGAGGAGCGCTGTAAATTTCAAAATTTTAATCTTTCTTATTTCTACCGCAAAACCTTTTTAAACAAATAATTTATCGCTCTTTACGCTCGACGTTGATTAATTTAATTTTCTTCCAACACAGCTGTTGAAGATCGAATTACAGGTTTCGTCAAGACCAACCCTTAAGTATTTCGCTCATTAGTTTACAGTCATTAAAAAAATAATTGTATCCACCGTAATTATTGTTCTTTCCTCTGCCGGTGAACATAATAATGAAAAAAAACATTTAACCGCTTATGTCGTTTTCCCTAACATCAAAAACAATTACTTTGTGTTTCTAAGCAAGCTTTAAATGATATAAATCAACGTCAGGAAGTAAAACGGATGTATTCCGTTTTTAACTTAGATCAATAAGATGGTTTGCAGTTAACTTGAATACGAAAAAAACAAAAATAAATATCTTATACGTTGACAGCCAAAGAGCTTAATGTCTCTCACTCGAAATAAGGGCTAATCTTTTGTTTTTCTCGGTAAACACGTGGGTAACAAATTTCCAAACCGTTCTACTCGTAAGTAAGTTTCCCGAGAAGTGGGTGATTGACGTAAGCTCGTGGGAAACGGAAAACTATTTAACGTTAGTACACCGCAGTGTCTATTGGCTCGCTATTGACGTGAACCATACTTTTATGTTTTGTACACTCGGGAATTGTTAAGTGTAACGAACTGATTGGTTTTCTCGAATCGTTTTCCTTCGGAGCACGTTTTTTTGGAAACTACCCAAACTAAAACCAACTGCACCGGTACGAGGTGGCCGAAATATATTGTTAAAGATTAAAACGTTTCACGAAACTTTGGCGGGACCAAAGTAGGTAGAGTTAAATTTTAAATTAGTCCAATCCTTAATTTTAACTATACCATAAAAAAAGGAGCCACGACAGAAAAAGTCTAAATTGAGACGTTGAAGTTTTTTTTCCGCTTATAAATTATTACAAGTTCGTTAAAAACTAAGGAGGTCTTGGTATTTTCGGGGAAATCGTTACGTTCCTTTATTCTGTATTTTTCAACGATACACTAAATAATGCAGTTGTCACTTAAAACAAAATTATTCAACTTGGAGGAACCCTTTAATTATGTTCTCTTTTAATGAAAGCGAAATTACCAAGAAGGCCACAGGTATAGTCCGTTTTTTTTTATATAATAGGAGTTGGTAGTTTAATGTTTTATTTGTTTTGGACCTCGACTGTATTATACAATAAGTATTAGAGTATTCGAGTATTAGAGACAATATAGCGATAGAGATAACAATAATAATAATATTGTTTATTAGAAAAACATAAGGAAAAAAATAATACACAACATTTTTATTAAATGCTATAGCTAGCTTTAAGGAAAAAAGTATAGTAATGAAAATTGAGGTCATTGAAAAGAGTAGTAGGAGGAAATGAAAATGTCAAAAAATTAGGGAAAAGATGAAAAGAAGTAGTCTATTAGCAAGGGAAGAAAATAAAACGAGAAAATCCACCAATTAGGACCACATGTAAGCGACAAACGGGACTGAGATTAGAGATAAGCCGAAGGCAAGTGTAGGAATGAGGTTAAGACCAGTTCTTAATCGGGGAAAAAGGAAATATCTTTACGAAAGAGATGAAGTGACGAAGATTAGATCATTTTGTCTGACACACGCAGAAAGGATTTCAGGTAGTCTTTCTTAGCCCTTAAAGGAATTGACAAATTCTTCATTCCCATATTGGCGGATTCGTTTGGGGATAACACCGGTGTTCCTGTTCTCGGACAGTGATTAGAATACTTACGTTTAGGCGAAGTGTGGTTTACATAATGAGGGAAATATTTGTTAGTAAAATAAATGCAAACGCTTACCGATTCCGACTGTGTTGTTGGCGGCGGAGGCAGAGAGAACTCGCTGCTGTTGATGTCGGTTAAGTCGGACATGTCAGCGACAATGGAGTTTCTAGCGCTTGCCAGCTGTTCGGCCAATTGACGTTCGCGTTGGGCATTGACAATGGCCACAGTCTTCTCGACCGCTTGATCGCACAACAGATTGACGGCATCCTTGACGCTGTTGATCAGGGTCAACTTGTATTCCTCTAGGCACTGAGCGGCCACGTCCTCGTCGGCGATCGCGTTCCCTTTGTCGACGATCGCTTCTCCTTTGTCAACGATCGCGTTTCCTTTGTCGACGATCACGTTTCCTTCGCCGACGATCGCGTTTCCTTCGTCTACAATCGCGTTTCCTTCGTCGACAATCGCGTTTCCTTCGTCGACGATCGCGTTTCCTTTATCGACGATCGCTTCCCCTTTGTCGACGATCGCGTTTCCTTTGTCGACCAGCGCGTTTCCTTTGTTGACGATATCGTCACCTTCGTCGATGATCGCGTTTCCTTTGTCGACGACCGCGTTTCCTTGGTCGACGATCGCGTTTGCTTCGTCAACGATAGCGTCTCTTCCGTCGTTGACCGTTTCGATCAAGTTTGGCCCGACTGTAACGTCTTCAATGGGAGATGCTTTTTCTTGGCGTTCCTCGACCACTGTCAAAATTAATTCTGCTTTCAAATCGTCTTGTTCGGCAGGCAAGGAAGCTCCCCGCTGCACGTGGGCCTCCTCTTTTTTCGTCACGTTTTCCGAACAAGGCAAACCTGGAAAAAAATGTGTGTTAAATTTTGAACAAAAGCTAGATTTAATGTAGAAGCGTGATAAGGATTTAGACATTGTCAGGGTATGGGAGCAGGGGAAAGTGGAAAGGAGATTTAGTGACGCATCACAAAATCACATCTGGAGCCCACAATTTAATTGTGCATGTGTGTAAGCAAATCGAATAATTTTGTTTGGCTGATCGACAGACTGAAAACTATCTCCACTAATCCATCCTAACCCTGGTCGTAGATAAAACGCAAAGCACGGTAAAATACTTTTCACAAAATGAACATGTCTTTTGGGCCGGTTGGATTTATTGTCCCATCGAAATACCGTCGTTATCAGCGGGCTATAAGCAACAAGATGAAACGTTCATGGTCCAATTTCTTTCAGACGGGAAAAAGAACTTAACATGAATTTTTAGACTAAAAATTCGCTGTAATTGATATTTTTTTTGGTTCCTGGAGTCGGTACTTTAGGGTTCCTCGATGAGAGACATAACTAATGACTACCGAGTGAGATTAATGAACTGTCTAGTATTGAAACATTTTTTCGGGTTGTCCGTGAAGGCTGTATGATTAACCGTTTAACGGGGATGTACCGCAGACAATGGCTGTTCGCGGAATACTCGGACGTAAAACTTTTGTCAAAACCGTATCCGGAACTCTTCGTAGAAGGGTTGTGTCAAAAACAGCTGTCTTTTGAGGGATTGAGTAATAGCCTTCGCGTCGGAGTGAAAATATTTAACAGCTCTGTCGCCACGTACCAACCGTCATGCCGTGGTGATATGAATGAGACAAGTAATAGGACCTAGATTTCGTATGAGACTGATTGTCAACAGTTGCGGCTGTAAATAATGATATTTATATTGGACGACGGTAATAATTTAACGATATGTGCTCGCGACAGCCGGTCTTTAAATGAAATAAATTAAGAACGTCGTTGCCCAATGTTGAATAACAATAAACGCACTGACATTTAGACACAGCAATAACCGTTGCGTTATAAATCGTTCGAAAATGGACGCTTTTCAATTGTCCTGACAAATACACAGAGAACGACGGTTATGAAGAAAACGATTTGGGACCCTTAACTAAGAACCCTATAATATTAAACTCAAAACCAGCCGTCTTGCAAAAAAAACATCAACAAATTTCTGATTTTTGCGGCACTTCAAAAAAAAAAACCCCATTTGAAAACGAATAATAATTTGATTTGGACTCATCATAATACCGTTTCTGCATAAACGAATTTATTAAATACAACTGTCATCGATTGTAAGGCGATGCTGTTATTATTCGTTTAATTTTTAAAGCAATTGAACAAATTAAAAATACTGTTTTGTGAGGTCTCAATAATTGTTTATTAATTGGACAATACAATTGAAGAATTTAAAAAAAATACCGACTGCGCATAACTATTAGTGGATTTATTCTGAAAACTCTAAAAATATTTCATACAAACGCATTGAAAATTATCACTTTTTAACGACGTTTAAGTTCGCATTCCTTTTTAGTAAACAAATTCTGTGATAAAATTTAAAAAGTTCAACGAGATAGAACTTTTTGTCAATTGCCGTTCATCACGTACATTTCAAAATGTATTTCCGACATATTAATATATTAACTTAATGTAAAACCGCAAAAAAATGTATTTATCAAATTCTTGGGGGTTAACGTTTCTCTAATAAAAATTATGTTATTTTGTGAAATAGTGAGAAAAAAGAACATGCAATTCAAACATTTCAAAGTGATTAAACTAAGGATTGAAAAGTTTTACAATATTAAAGCTAAAACAAATAAAAGCCTACATTTTTAGTTTATGTTAGGTTAGGTTGAGTTAGGAGAATATTTTATGTAAGAAATTGAAATCGTTTTATTTTTAATAAAAAATGTCCGAACAAATTTATTAAAGACTGGATAACACCAAAAAAAAAAAGAAAAAAGTAAGTGAAAATCAAAATTTGTACCTACTTCCAAATCAACCCCAAAAAACTACCACTAAACATTGTGTCTATAAATATTTTATAAGGCTCAGATTTTAGTAAAATGAAATATGTTTAAAATAGTATTTTATTTTAACTTTTCCAAAAAATCGGTTGTTTTTAAAATTGGTTTTTTTGTACATTTTCTAATTTTTACTCTAACGATATTCTAACACTTGGCCGAACAACTTCTAATAAAGCATAATAGGAATGATTTTATTTTTATCTAACTGAACTTCTACAAGGGAATAAAACCAGTAGGTATATTATTTAAAGTGACGAGAACCAAAAGGTAAGATGAAAGTGAATGTTTTCTTTATAACATTTGAAAATAATGCGTTTTTTTTCTATCTACGTTTATCTTATAATTTTTCATCATTTTTCTGTAGGTGTATTGAAGAAAACCAATGAACGTTCCCGTAAGTATACATAGAAAATATATTTGTTCCGTTTTGGTTAACATCACTTCGAAATTGAAGATAATTACAGGGTTGTCCACTTAACGCAAGACACTAATTTTCTGTGAAAATAATTAAAATTTTGTAGTGCTTTTTGAAAAATTTAGTTAACGTTATTTTACAGTATTAAGCAGTGTTCAATTAATTTTACATTTTTAGGTAATTTCAATAGTTCTATCAAATTTTGAACATTAAATAGTAACGTAAGTATTTTATTATTACAATTGTTTGCGAACATTTTAGTAATGATGATTTTATACATATAATATGCTCAATAATTAAACCCGATAGGGAGTTCACTGATTAAATGACAATGATATGTGTGAAGTGCAATAAAAACTTATCGATTAATGCGTTGCATGGTAAAAATGATAACTACAGTTTTATCGCATAGTAATAATTATAACATAATCATGTTCAATAGCCAAGTCCAGTACTGTTATCGGTGCGAGTGATATTTGTAGTGTGTGCTTTGCGTTTATGGATTAGATGCCAATGCCTACAATAGGAATTTATCGCAAAAGAAGCCGATGCTATGAGTAGTGATATATATATATATATATATATAGAGGTTGTCGACGAGAAGATGTTAACATTTACGTGATTCTCGGGTGTCTTACATTGAATGGATGATCATGCTGTTTAAGCTGAGTGATAAAAATTTGGGACTTACTTTTGGATTTGGCAGGTGGACATTTGGCGAATTGAGGTATGGGCACCCTCCAGAACGGTTCCACTAAAACACTTCGCTGGTTTCTGTACGGTTTCGGAGCACTGGTCGAAGCGCCTTCGCTGACGCCGGTGACGGAATCATTGCTGCTCCGCCGATGCTCGGTAAGTCGGTTGGATTGTCTCTGCAACGTCTTGGCTCTCCTTGAAGTCGACGCATCGTCGCTCCCTTCGCTCCGGGCGTGATTCATCGCTAGGGCAGCCGAAATGGCAACGGCTACATTATCCGGTTCGAACGGGTGCGAAAAATCATCTGCGCTCGACCGACGGGTTTCGGAGTCCTTACTCGACGAGTCCCGGGACAGTTGCGATATCAACGTTTTGGTTTCGGATACGGATTCGGTTGAATTTTTCTCTCTAGATTTGGTCCATGAAAAGCTCCTTTTGTTTAAAAAGGTCACCACGCCGTTAGGTGGTGTGGCGACCTCAGCGGCACACGACTGTTCGACAGAGTCGGTCTTTGACTTTTTCCTACCGAAAATCGGAGTGATGAATCCTAAATCCTTGGATTTTGGTTTGTTCTCCGTTTTCTCGTTAGGTATGGAGTTTTTCTTGCTGCCGTCTTTGGACCCCTTCCTCGAGATCACGTTGAAACATTCGATCATACGATCGTCGTCACTGTCGTCCGTTTCGCCGTTGCACAAATCTTTGGACTTTTGCGTTTCCAACACTTGCATGTATTTCCGGACGGAATCGTTGGATCCCTGTTTTTGCAATGCGGGCTGTCCGGCACGGCTGGTCGACGCTTCTGATTGCAGGTCGTTCGGGATCGACGACCTGGGGGCTTTGGGCAACGGCCGTACCGTACCTTCCGACAGCCGTTTCGTAGGCACGTTTCCAGCTGACGGTGGTCTAAGGCTATTGTCAGACTCTGCTATGTCTTCCAGATCTTCGGTCACCCATTTCCTCATACCCGATTGGCTCACTTCGTGCGGCGGCGGGTCCCTCGTGCAATCCACCGTCATTGCGCGGTTGTTCTTGTTGAAGTTCTTACATTTCTGAAAGGGAGGTATCGGCGTCAGACCCAAATCCAACTGGCTTTTGATCAGCTCTTCGGCCGACTTCGTCAAAGGTTCTCTGGCAGGTTCCTGTTCCATGGCTTGCGCGACGGTCTCGGGTATCATTGGCTCGTCGCCGCCGCCCGGGTTCGATTGACGGCATTCCGATTCGGGCGGGTTCCCGTGGGAGTCCAACGCCTCGCTCACCCCGACCGGTATGACGTCGCCGGTAACCTCGCTGCCGATCGGCCGGTTGACACCCGCGGCCGTGGATGCCAGAATCGCGATGGTCCCGGTCTCCGCGGCCAATTGTCTCACGGCCGTGGCTTCCACCAGATGCACCGAGCCCGCGTCTTCGTTCCTCGTCGCCTTCGGGTCCGCGGTAGTGCCCAGTATGGCTATCGATCCGGTTTCGGCCGCCAAAGTCCTGCAAGCGGTCGCCTCGACGTAGCGCACTTCCGGCAGGTAAGTGGACGTGGACGGGCGGACGCGAGAAGGCGAATCGTTCGGTGTTCTGACGTTGGCCGTCATGCCCAGTATTGCCACGGAGCCCGTGTTCGCCGCCAAAGTCCGCACCGCGGTGGCCTCGACGTAGCGTATGGACAGTCCGTCCGCATCGGAATCGACGCTGCCCGAAGGGATGGTCCGTTGGTCGTTGGATCCTTGTTCGGACGATTCATTGTCCGTCACAGACCGAGCGGTGTTTCGGTCTGAAGCGGACGATTTCGATCTAACTACTGTAACAAAAAGGAAAAATGTCTTAATAAAAATTCATAAAAATTAAATAAAAATAATCTATTAATTTCCTAGACGGGCGATACAGCTGAGTGTCTACCCATAAACGATGCCATGTAAATAACTTTCATCACATTTGCATGTACATACTGTATAGATCCGTTAACATATTTCTCTGATAATATATAAAAAAAAAAATGCATTACTACTAAACAAGTATATTACACGCAAATGCAATAAAGGCTAGGGGAACAGTGGCTGGGGCGGAACATGTTGGGTCGGGGGAGTTGAAATCACTTGCAAATAAACACTTCGATGCGAATCTGGAGACAGTAGGACGTATTGTAATAACAATAATGTGCATAAAATTGAATTTTTATTGTAAGGGTATAAAAAGAAAAAAAGTCCACCCCTTCTAGGGAAAAGAATTTTTTCTTCTGACCCAATTAAGTATGCACCTTTCGCGGTAGGTACTAATTTGAGTCGCTACATGAAGAAAGCGGTTGGGAAGTTTAAAAGATATTGTCGGTACATACAAACACACAAAGAATTAAAATATAAAAACACATGTAATTGTAAAAACAATATCTTCTCAGCTCCGCATCGAAGCTATACATATTTAATAATTTCGCACAAAAAAAAATAACACTTCTGAATTCGCATCCGAGATGATTTCTAATATACTTTTTCCAACATTGTATTTGCATTACAACTATTATATCATATTCTTTTGTGGCCAATATGTTTCGGGACCGTCGAAACTTTAGCTGTAAATGACAGCGAGAAAAATATCTGGGGAACTCAATATTTCCACTCGATAAAACTTGTTCTCATATTTCACGTCCTGGACACGTAGTTACTTTTGAACAAAAATGTCCCAATCTTCCCAGAAATAAGACAAACGTTTATTGTTAATTTTGTTTTAACCAACACAATACCGCTAATAGTAACTGGTATAATATAAACCGTGTACCTAATGGGATGAATATGGCTGTTGTAAAAAAAAAAAACAATCACCGTTTTTGTTATTATGTATAAAGGACGGTAAAATTGTCTCCAATCAACACCGAAAAAATGGTAAACCGTTAAAAAAAAGACCACCGTGAACTGCTCGAAACTCATCTGGATGCATAATTTAAAAAATATACTAATTTGTTGGTTATTTATTAAAAATTTTAATTGTTCCATTTTGCTAGACGATGAATGATAAATAAATTAATACAATGTCTTAGTTGTTTTTAAACCAATTAATATTGGCAAAAGTTATTGTTGTCTAACGATGACGCTTTAAATTTGTTTTTTTTCTTAGTGTAATTATAATGGCGATGCAATTAATGTTAATACAATTAACAGTAAAACTTTTTAATGATCTGTCGACAGATTATTAAAATGTATATAACAGCAAAACTTTTTAATGATCTGTCGACAGATTATTAAAATGTATAGAAAAAAAAAATGTTCACATAGTTTTACTATGGTAATAATCCAAATGATATATTGCTTTATATAAGTAGTTATTTTATAAGTCAGTTACATTGACAAGTATGAGCAATGTCTGAGTAACAAATAATTTTGCTCGAGACTCACGAAAAAAAAATTTTTTTAAATATGTAAAAAATTTTATAATAATTAGAACTAAATATTTTTTTACTTTTAAATCAAACGTTGGCATAAAATCAAATATTAATACCAAAATTTGTAGCAACATTTTTTTTTAAAATATTATTATCCCTTGTTTGGATTACCGAAGCAATATAAATTTGTTTTCTTATTATAAGTATCATGTTATTGATATTTTTTATAGTATATTTTATGTAGGCACACGACTGATGTAATATTAGAAATTATTTTTTAGTCAACATAATAATAGTTTATGAGTTAATTTCATTTTATTTTGATAGTGCGAATTTTTTTATTTATTTATTGTTTTAATGTATTTGCACTTTCCGTGTTCTTGTGTTATGATGTATTTCAATTTCGAAAATTATTTTCCGCCCGAATTACTTTGAAAATTAGTTTTGTTTTAAACAGAAATGTAACAATCATCCATTTCTGCGTAACTCTGTAATAAACATAATCCGGGTAATTATTATTCAGGCGTACTGGACAATACTCGCATTTCTGAATTCAGTATAATGCAACAAGAAGAACAATCATTTCTCTTCGTTCCGATTTGGTCCCAACGAATAGACAGACGGACGGACGGATTTGTATTGTATTGTTTATAATATTTTATTGTGGGTGTTCTTTCGTCCAGTGCCGTCTGAAAGGAAACATAATGAAAAAGACCATCGGAACAGAAACGCTACACTTAACTTGTCTTAAACGTTCTCATTTGAGTGCACCCGTTTTGTCTTGGCCAAAGGGCTTATAGACAAAACCTATTGTCGAAGATGATGTTAAAGTTTTTAACAGTGAATTTAATAATGTTGTACTTAGTCGAGCGTAAGTCCAACTCTGTCGCTAACTTCGTCTCTCAAGTTAAAACTTCATCGAATTGCAATAATACAACGTTGAAAACGCTGTATTATGTAGGTCTGAAATAATTGTTATATTGAAGTCATACAGTTAAAATGGTTTATTAAATATTTCTGAAGTGTTCGCTGTGTCTTAACAGTTTTCAAGAATAAATAAAGTACTATATTATAACCGTTGTGTGTGATAACGGTACATTACATTATGTTGCAAAATTTTTTGGCATATATATCATATCTGTATATTTTTAAATAAATTACATTATTTGTTTTAGGCTAAACTATAATGAAATCATAACCGATGCTTGTCCGTTTGAAGATTCATTACCACTTGCATTGAATGGTGAATAAGCGTTTTTCTGGTAGATTGTTCTACGTTTCTATCTACTCTATATGTTATTAATACAATAAATAATTATTATTGTATTAATGTTTTGATTTCATCAAAAAATCTATTCGATTGAACGGTTTTCTAAGTTTTCCTTTTACAGAATGCCCTATATATATTTTGTGTAATATAATTGATACTATTAAAACATTATATTTAATTTGCCTATTATTGTAAATTAATTGCGTCCTAAACAAAGACTTTTGGTATTATAAATAATTAAAACATTAATTATTTCCCCCCTTTGTTTTTAGCTGACTACAATTATTATCCCTACGTATTATACAAGTTACAACTATAGATTTTTTTTATTAATTGATACATTTATTCACTTTTTTTCAAACTTGGCATTATTTTAATTTATTAATTATTTTTATTTAGTACGGTGAAATGTTGGTTACCTATCAAAATCTTTAAATACTTGCATCGAGACATTTTATTTAACCGCTCTTTGGACGTTTTTATAAACACTCTCAAATAATGAAAAATAAAAAGAATCAAAATCACTCTCTACTTGTTTTCCTTTTAAGTTTTAATATAATATACAGATTGACCTATAGACATTTCATTAATGTTTTTTACTCTTGAGTCTTATTTACTTTTGAACTTTTGTTAAACCCAGTCATTGTATAAATTATGTAACTAATACCCTAAGTTCACCCATAAGCCGCGACTGGAAATAAAACGAATATTGTTTTATTTCTTTTTGAAACGCTTGTAAACGAATTGAAAAACATAACGAAAAGTAAAAGGGCACTGCCCTGAACAATAAAAACAATAATAGCCAATCAACTCGGTATCGAATTTACGGACTTTTTCGGAGGACAGAGGGGAGGGTTGGGGTTGGGGTCATTGGGTCTTGGTGTAATATCTACTGATATTGTGTTTCATTCAATTGACACAAACGGTTAATAGGTCTGATCAGAGCAATTGATGTGACGGCTAATGGTCGTCGTAACAAAATAATAATCACTTTCTGAACAAAATACTTAAAACTAAAATTGAACAACCCGTTCGCCAATACTAAGCGAATGATATAGTTTTATTTTTTACTCTAGAACTCGGTGAAAATAAAGACAAATTTTCTCCGTTTTGTAATTTGACGTTGGTCAAGGAATTTTCCATAGTAAGCGGACTACAAATCATATGGGGCCAAAACGGTCCATTAGCCAATGCATTATGGTCGATCTAACATGAAACAAATACCTTTTTCGGCCCCGTATCGGACGAAGGTTGGACGCACAGAAGTCATACGCCATTAAGCTAGTCGGTATAATAAACTACAACTCTTGGAATCATTTAGCGCACAGTAGCTTTCGGTGGCCAGCAGATAAAAAACGTTTTTTTTTTTTTTGGTAAAAAAGCTTTGGAATAATACACAGCGGGCGAACGTTTTCGATGAAAACCCTCGCCCTCGGGGTAAATTATATTTTTGCAGGGAATTATATTTTGTGCCGAACTAGAATGTTCTCGTCCGCTTGATTGCTAATCGATTGGATTCCACCCGCTTCCACAGCTCGGCCGACCAGAGGCGATTAGTGAATTGTCTTGCGAACCGATACCCGTTTTGACAGCTTGTCAAGATAACATATTACCCCGTCCGTCCGGGCCAATGAGTCTAATTGCTACCCGAAAGCCAAAACCCGCCGGACAAGCGTGGAATTTAAATTGAAAATGAAAAAAGAATACCGACAATATTAAAGGAATATAAAATAAATACCAGTACTGCAGTGGGGTCAAGACACATTGGGAAAGGAGCGCATCGAGGATCTGTAGACGGTAGAAATTATAGTTAAACATTGTGAAGCCAAAAATGTGTTTTAAGTTTTATTTTTACCGTTTTTCTTGATTTTAAAAGGGGAGGTATTTGAACATTTTAAATTTTGGCCCAGGAAATTACCTTCCTGATATTATTTCTGATCTATTGATATGGTGTGTATACATAAACAATACCTTCCAGCTCAGCGTCGAAGCTAATATGCAGAGTATATAAATGTGGTTGTCAAAATAAACAAAAATTGCTTTTTTCGAGTAAATATTAAACATAACATTACCGCATAACCGTTAATAGCTTCCAGACAAAGTCATAAAACCGATTGACACGTTGTTATAAGAAAAATAGTAACGCAATAAGCAAAGA